AATTTCACTCCATGTGCACTAGAGCGGTGGTTCTCAAACTCTGGTGTATATCTGAATTATCCGGAGAGTTAATAAAGAACTCAGAAGTGGCAAGCTGGTTGAAGGATAGGGCTGGCCTTTGTATTTTTATGAAGTTCCCTACGTGATTCTGTTACCTACCAAAGTTGGAGGACCACTGCCCTAAAGCAAGGGCCAGCAAGCTATAGCCTGAAGACCACATCCAGCCTCAGGCTGTTTTTATAAGCCAAGATTTGTTAGAATAAAACCCTACCTATTCATTTAGGTATTATCTATGGCTCCTTTTACACTCTAACAGCAGTATCAAATAGTTGCAGGAGAGATCAAATGGCCTGCAAAGTCAAAAGTATTAAGTATCTAGCCCTCTACAGAAAAATTAGCCAATTCTGAAGGAACACTTCATATCAGGAGACGTGTATAAGTATGTTCCCTATGGCAATGTTTGTCACAGCGAGATTTTGAAAAATCCTCAATGTACGTAAATAGGGGGATAAATAAATAAATAAAGATATCTCTCTGTGTGTATATATCTACATATTCTACTACATACATAGTATATAAATAAAATATAGTAGTAAATAAAATTTATCAGATCTTTATGCCTTAACATGGAAAGAATAAAAAAGGATGATACATACAATATATTTTTACATGCATTTTTAGACACAATATCTGTTAAAAGGAATTTAAAAATAAATTAGAATGGTATATACCAAAGCCATGACCATACTTGCCTATAAAAGGGAAAGAGACAGAAAAGGGAGTAAAAGGGTCCTGAACTCTATACATAGTCCTCAAATCTATAGACTTCATTAAAATATTTGAAATAAAAAAGTGACAAAAATTAAAGATTTGCTAATACTAGAATATATTGTTTGCCATATTATCCTCTGTGGGTTTTATTTTATTCAAAATTAAAACCACAAATAACCTAAAATATTCAACTATAGGGAAAAGGAATTGAACATTAATAATCCAATACAATGAAATATAATGTACCTCTTAAAAATACACATGAAGAAAATATAACATGAGAAATTATTGGTTTAATTGTCCATGAAATAAGGATAAAATTATATATCTATCTATATATATATATATATTTAAAAGGGTTATCCTTATTTGATCCTTTTTGGGGTTCATTTATTTATTGGGTTGTATTTTTTAATCAATATAACATGCATGCAAAACTTTAAAAAAGAGGTCAACAGTAGATATATTTGACTTAATATTTATCTTTGTCTTTTATTTTCCAAATAGTATTAAATGAATACATATTACTTTAAAATGAAATGATACTTAGGGCACGTGGGTGACTCAGTTATCTAAGCATCTGATGTTGGCTCAGGTCATGATCTCAGGATCCTGGGATAGAGCCCCCAGTCGACAGTCAGGTTACCTGCTCAGTGGGAAGTCTGCTTCTCCCTCTCACTCTGCCCCTGCCCCTCCACCCAACTCAAACCCCCCTCCCCGACTTGTGTAAGCTCTCTCTCAAATAAATAAAATCTTTGAAAAAAAAAGAAATGAAATGGTACTCATTGAAAGTGACCTTGTGTGGCAAATAGAGCTAACTGCATAACAGATACTCATTCTACCCTTCTTCCTGCTACTTTACTCAGTAAAACACTAAATTTCGCAGCCTTTCTTGCAAATACAGGAGGCCATATGATGCAGTTCTAGCCAATGAGATGTAAGCGGAGACTCTGCGTGCAGCATATTGGGAAATGCTTTGAAAGAAAACAAACTTGACTGGTCTTTACTTTGCCCTTTTCCCTTCACCTACTTCTTTCTACTGAAAGAGAAGGTGAAGCAGGTGAGAAAGTGAAGCAGCCACCTTATGAGCATGGCGAACAAAGGTTATTCATTAAAGAATGACAGAGTGGAAAGTCAAGTCAGGAGCCTTCAGGAACTGCTGTGCCAACCTGGACTGCATCCCTCTAACACTTCCTGTACGTGAGAAAACCAAACCAAACACCTTACTCCCTTTAAGCCTTTCTTTTACATACAGCCAAATGTAACCATTTACTGAAACATCTTGCTAAAATTAAATATTAATAAATTATACTGTTGAAAGGCACTTTAAAGATTGCCTAACCGATAGTACCTGAAGATCAGAAAAATAATCTTCAAAAAGATTGAAGGCTCGAAACCAGTCTGTATCAGAACAGGGACCAGAAATTCACCCTCACTTAAATGAATCCTTGTTCTAAAATGTTAAAATCAAGTCCACTTTAATGATCCAGTTTGTAAATTACTTATTTAGTATTTCATATTTCTTTCTCCAAAGGTAATTTTTTTTTATTTGAGAGAGAGACAGCACGCTTGAGTGTTGGGGGAGGGTCAAAGGGAGAAGCAGACTCCAAGCTGAGCAGGGAGTCTGGTGCAGGACTCATCCAGGATCACCACCTGAGCGGAAGGCGGTAGCTTAAGCAACTGAGCCACCCCAGTGCCCCCAGATAGTAACATTTTTAAAAAAATTCCATCTATATTGGTAAAAATTTGTATTCATCCCCGTTTTTGCCCATAAGCAAGCTTGAAATTTGAAATTACTCAAAATTAGTATTCAAACTGACATCAATTTCTTAAGTATATCTGTATAGGTTACTCTTAAAGACCAAACAATTTACAAGGATAAAGAATTAGTAAATTTACAAATAGTGTTTTAATTCATATTCTATCCCCCCAAACAATTTAAACCCTTTTCTCTAAATATCAACCTAAGAGAAAACCAAAAATGTCTGCATTTAGAGTATGTATCTGAATTTCATAAATATTGTTTTTATACAAAGAATAAGACTTAGTATACTATCTTTTGTCCTTGAATAAAAGATTTCATCATTAGATATAGGATTCTTGGGCCCCAGTGCTTTTTGCTCAATATTTGGCTACTTCCACCACCAGCTCCTTGGCGAGATTCCTAACACCTGCTGTTAACAAACTCCTCCCGGATTCCACTGTGTAAGAAAATCCAAAAATACTCATGCATGCCTCTGCCCACAGAATAGAAAGAACCAGTTCCTTAAGCGCCTGAACTTTCATCATGTTCCTTTTCTACTGGTACATGGTCCCACTCTTGGTATTTCTACCATTTTTTAAGTCCTTTAGTGAAGAGAAATATAATTCTCTGCTTCCAGATCTAAACCTCTTAGAGAACCACATTTTTTTTCAAGAATAACACAAACTCATCAAAGGAAAGAAATTTTTTTGACAACATGAGTATGTTACAGAGTCTGAGGTAGCAGTTAGAAAGCCAATCAATTGCTTCTTACATATGCTGTAAATTATCATAGCAGGTCCCACCAGCACTTGCTGCTACTCTGGCAATACCCAATTTCTTGGGCTAGCACTGATGATGAGTTATCAAGAAAGTTGGAGTCAGAATATTTTATGTTCTGTAGCTAGTATTATATTTTATATTCTATAGGTAGAATTACAATTCTATCCACAGTTTAGTTAAATACAAGGCTTAAAATGGCCCTTGCAGTAACTTCTAACCACCACAAGATGGAGATATGACTCCATGATTTTTTCCTGACTTTCCAAGACACAGAAATAAAGGTATTTCTGGGTTGAAAATAACAGAGGTGTACAAATTAGGTTATTTCTCCCCTGATAATTATTTTTAAAAATATAATATTTTTCTGTATTTTTCACTAAAGGTCTGCACTTATTCAAAGAGCAATCTCTATAATGCTCTGGTCCTCAGGACCTCTGTGAATATAGCAGTCAGTTAAGTGCTCTACATTAAAGCTATTAAAAAACATGTTATTTCTGATAGGCTGTATAGAATGGCTGTTGTCATTGCACAGTCTAGTCAAATGGGCATAGATTTTTTTTTTTTATTTTTTTTTTTAAAGATTTTTTTTTATTTATTTATTTGACAGACAGAGATCACAAGTAGACAGAGAGGCAGGCAGAGAGAGAGAGAGGGAAGCAGGCTCCCTGCTGAGCAGAGAGCCCGATGCGGGACTCGATCCCAGGACCCTGAGATCATGACCTGAGCCGAAGGCAGCGGCTTAACCCACTGAGCCACACAGGCGCCCGGGCATAGATTTTTTTAAAAAGAGAATCCACCTCCACATTTCCAGACTCTCTGATTCTGAGCAAATCACTTAATTTTTTTAAGTTCAGTGTCACATGCATTAAAGGAAATAATATTAAATTTTATCTCATTGGATTGTGTAGTCCTGCCAATTTAGCAGAGTATTGTATTTTCATTTTCATATAAAGTACCCTTGGTTTTTTTTATAAGATTTTCATGTTTTCCTGAATATTCTTGAAATTAAAATTCAGCAAGAGTTCTAAAGAAAAGCCTACTTCCAAGCATGCTTTAGACTTGGCATAAGCCATGCTTTAGGTCTTCTCTACATTTAAAAAAAATAAGCATTTAAACGAACGAGAAACAAATAAATGTGTTTTGTAAAGTATAAAACATATATAAATTCAAGGAATTTTTCCGGAGGAAAGGCTGTCACTAGGCCAGCCCAAAGAAAAAGTAGGTTGATCAGTACAATAAGGTTTCTTTCATGTCATAGGGTAATTTTATGGGTTCTCTGTTGGATTTTATACATTGTGTATGTGAATGTGAATATATGTATGTGTGCATATCTACATGTATATATGTATATTCCAGAGGAAATAGAATGGATATGTTTTCAGACAGTTATGAAATATATTTTTGTATTTAATAGGCTCTTTTAGGTTGCAGGAAGTAGACACACTCAGGTTGCACCTGGACTAACTATTGAGATTCTTTTTCTTCCATTTGGTATGTATCTGAAACTCTGCCCAGCTTTATAAGGTAGAGATTAAGTTGAAGGATCTGCTATAGGATTCCTTACTTCCTAGAAACAGTTCCACTGAACAAAATATTTTATTTGGAACTTGCCACAGTCTTCAAGCATTTTTTGGAAGCTGCCTAAAAAAAAGTACAAAATTTTTTTCCTTCCATTATTCTTTTTGCTTAACTAGCTTTTACTTACCACTGGCATTTGTTCATAAACACAGAAGACAATCTATCTACAACAAAACAAATATGAAAATATTAACAATATTTTATCACTTTTAATTCAACTTACAAAACATATATATAGTTGCTTCTGTACCTTGAGAATTTCCACGGATTTTTTCCATTTTATCTTCTAGAGAAACAATTTGCTTTTCTAGTTGATCATTCAGTTCAAGTTGTGTCTCATAACGAACTTTCCATTCACCACCTGATGGGAAAATGGGGTTAAATCAAGATCATCTTGTCACCTCTCATTTATCTACAACATTAATCAGCTCATTTAAATCTCCTTTAAAACAACATTAATCAGCCCAATCCTACTGTACTTTACTTTGTTAGCAATGTAGATGAACAAGAGTGAACTAATTTTTAAGTTTGCATTTCTCTGTTTGATAGGATCTTTCAGATTGCAGACAGTAAATTCGCAGCAGATTACCACACAGTCAGACTTCACTAGGACTATTGTGATTCCTGGTTTTCTCAATCCCTAGGTCTTTTGTCTGTTAGTTCCTCACATATCCTTACAAGGAATTCTATTTTTTTTTTTTTTAAGATTTTATTTATTTATTTGACAGACAGAGATCACCAGTAGGCAGAGAGGCAGGCAGAGAGAGAGGAGGAAGCAGGCTCCCCGCTGAGCAGAGAGCCCGATGCGGGGCTCGATCCCAGGACCCTGGGATCATGACCCGAACCGAAGGCAGAGGCTTTAACCCACTGAGCCATCCAGGCGCCCCACTTACAAGGAATTCTATTAAAGGGACTATCGGAACGTGTTTCTTTCCTTGGAACTTGAAATATCCATACATAACAGCTTAAATAGTTCTAGCTTCCATCCAAAGTCATGTCCATTTTTTTTTTCCTTTGCAAACAAATTCTTAAGTCCTTTTAACAACCACCACTTACATGTTTGCTATGTAAAAAGTACACAATCACATATATAATCACATATATTAACTAATCCTCATTTGAAAAAACTTTGTTACCTGTTCTACAGATGAGGAAACCATGGCTCAGACATGTCAAATAACATTTTTAAAGTGAAAAAGTCAATAAATGGGGGAAGTGGGATTTGAATCTGGTTTTATCTGATTTCAAAGTGTATCCTCTTAATTGCTATGCTAGTACATGCAGCTGCCTATTCAGGCATCTTCTCTTATCCATAAGCAGGTTTCTTTCACCAAGCCCCTTGGATTATTAAGGCCAAAACAATTTTCTAATTGCTATAGGAGGGGAGGAGAATACAGCCTAGAATTAAAACATCTTTGGTCAGCTTCAAAGTGCAAAGCTAATTTTTTTTTTAATCTTGAAAGTCATGGTTTATAGAGAGAAAAAAGTTGGCTTCCTTCTAAACTTTAAATGCTCTGGGCACCTGGGTGGCTCAGGGGATTAAAGCCTCTGCCTTCTGCTCAGGTCATGATCCCAGCTCAGGTCATGATCCCAGCATCCTGGGATCGAGCCCTGCATGGGGCTCTCTGCTCAGCAGGGAGCCTGCTTCCTCCTCTCTCTCTACCTGCTTCTCTGCCTGCTTGTGATCTCTGTCAAACTTAAAAAAAAAAAAATGCTCTTTACATATATGAGACAATTTCTGCTCCATTATAGTTGACAGAGGAATCGAGGTAGGAAGAGTATTAGCACATACCACTGGCCTCAACCTCCTCAGCCCGGCCACACGTCTCCCTTAACCCCCTCACCTCTAGCAAATATAGTGTTCCAAAAACAGAAGCAGGAACACCCTCCCAAACTGAAGTTGAAAGTCATTAATCCAAATGCTTTAGGAACAAAAAGGAAAGAGAAGCCTGAGAGACTGAACATTTATCCAAAATATACCACTGAGTCCAAACAGATGCAATTATCTATATAACTGGCTAGCTAGTCTCTGTAATTGGACCTCTTTCCCCCACCATGGGAATGGGGGCTTCCGAGCAAAATCAGAAGCTACCAAAAAATTTAAGAATGTAATTTATTTTTAGCACATCCAACAATAGTCTAGAAATGTTTGCCTCCACTTTATTGATCTATGGGGCGCCTGGGTGGCTCAGTGGGTTAAGCCTTCGGCGCAGGTCATGATCCCAGGGTCCTGGCTGGGATGGAGCCTCACATCGGGCTCTCTGCTCAGCAGGGAGCCTGCTTCCTCCTCTCTCTCTCTCTCTCTGCCTGCCTCTCTGCCTATTTGTGATCTCTATTGCCAAATAAATAAATAAAATCTTAAAATTTAAAAAATAAAATAAAATATTATTGATCTAGAGATCCTCAAATATAAGTAAGCCTAGTAGTTAACCATCATGTATTAATATTAATAAGTGCCAGGCCCTGGTGGTAATGATGTCAATATTCACCTTCCCCAATATGATGAACTGACTGACCTCAAATGTACGTACACGCTCAAACGTGTAACTCCTTCAGTATACACAGACTGCTCCTAATTATAGGGCACAAAGGACAAAGAGAAAGCATATTGGCTGCTGAATTACAGGAGAAAAATTTAAAATAGTAGTGTCTATAAAAAGGGAAAAAATAGACTTACGCTGCTCTGGGGTCACAGGGTGACCTTCATCGGCCCTTGTGGTACTTTCACCTTTGTGGGCCTCTTCCTCTATTAAAAAAAAATATTAAAAATTCTACTTTGCTACTATGTTGGTATAAAGACAAATATACTCCAGACTGAATCATATTCCTTTTTTTCTTCTCATGTGAAAATAAAAAATCTCTTTGGCCTCTAAAATTATCACACAAATCACATCAAATTCCTACTTACCAAGTATTTCCTTTTTCTAAAAAAAGACCACACTGATTATTTCTTTCCCTACCACATCTTGTTCTATGATAGCCCAAGTACCAAAAATATTAAGGTGTATCATTTTTGTATAATTCTTAATTGGTCTTTAAAATGCAATAATGTTTAAATTATATTTTTAATTGGGAATAAAAGTGGCAGTTAAAAATAGCAAGTTTTTTTAAATACACTTGATACTAAGGGCAGGTAGGAGACATCTGGAACAGCCAAATAAGAGATGTGGTGCTACCTTTGAGACAGCCCCAATACACTTGACGCCAAAAAAGATGATACCTGACCTTCAGCACAATAGCAGCCAACCTATAAAGGCCAACAATAAACGTACAAACAAGCCATTATTTAAAATACAGATTATGAGGATAAAAATTTAACAGAAACATTTGTGTCCCTTGTGGTGGAAAAAATACCCTGAGCAATACTTCCATGAACCATTGCTCCTTCAGTCATTTACAAAGAAAAAAATAAGCACCAATTTTTAAAAAAGATTCATTTTGAGAGAGAGAGAGAGAGAGAGAGAGAGAGAGCACATGCCTGGGAGTGGGATAAGGGGAGGGGCAGAGGGAGAAAGTCTCCAGCAGACTCCCGACTGAGCATGGAGCCCCATATCAGCTGGATCTCTCAACCTTGAGGTAATGACCTGAGCCAAAATCAAGAGTATGAAGCTTAACTGACTGAGCCACCCAGGTGCCCAAACCAAGCACCAATTTTTAAAGAAAAATCAAATTGCTTTGCATTATCAAAGAAGGATCTTGGCTAGGATCAGTGCAATGAAAACCAAAATCAAACCAAAATTTGAAACATTGTAGAAATTTGATTCATGTCCAGTTTTATGAATTGACCTTGGAAGAGGAAGTTCATAAAGTAAGAGAAAATTAAATTATGGGGTGCGTGGGTGGCTCAGTCAGTTAAGGATCTGCTGCCTTCGGCTCAGGTCATGATCCCAGGGTCCTGGGATCAATCCCCTCATTGTTGGGTTCCCTGCTCAACACAGGAGTCTGCTTCTCCCTCTTCCTCAACCCCTCCCCCTGCTTCTGTGCTTGCTAATAATTAAATAAAATCTCTTAAAAAAATCAAACTAAAATAAGTAAATAAATAAACTAAAAAAAAAAAACGAAAAAATTTTAAAAATAAAAAAATTAAACTAGGTAGAGTTCTACCTTTTAGATACGGATTTTTATTTATTTATTTTTTGTTTAGCCTAAGAGAGATAGCAGTGTTAACAAAAACAAAGCCCCAACAATCAACAATGCCAAATAATACATTTTTAAGTGTTAAAAACAACACAGTGGAATTGGTTGAAACTTGACTCTGCATAAACTTTAATAATTCAGTCATGTTTAGTTGCGCTGATCGCTGTATTTATAAGGATAACAGTGATGAAGTTATGTTAATTTGCAAAGACTTTGTAAAATAAGAAAATGTTAACAAGGAAAGGAAAAGGCCTAATATGTGGCACTGTACTGGGTATTAGGAATACAAAAATAAGACACAGTCCCTGCAGTCAATCAGCAGTAGGACAGATGGTGGTGAGGGAAGACATACGGCCAGAACATTTGAGAAAACTTGGTTAAGTGGATGCTATGGAAAACACAAAAGGACATCCAGTCTGGAAGGTGGCAGAAGACACTGAGAGATAGGGAGGTCAAGATTGAAGAGGCTCAGGAAATGCTCTTGGGAGAAATGACATTTGTTCCAAGCCAGAGGAGGTGAGAAAGGATTTTGAAGCAGCAAGAACAACATGAACAAATGAAAAAAACTCCTGTGGCAAAGGTGTCCCCAACAAAATTTTCAGATTTCTTGAGGAAAAATATCCCCAAAGTAGGACTAGTTGAGTCATGTCTCTACCACTTATTAGCTTATTTATGTGATCTTGAGGAAGTTACCTTTTCTGTGCCTCAATTTCTCATCTCTAAAATAAGGATAATTGAAGTTCTTATATTATAGGATATTGGGAGCAGTCATTAAAATATGTAAAATACTTAGAATAGAGCAGGGCACACAGCAAATACTATAAAAGTTAGTTGATATTGTAATTATTTTCAACTTCTCCTTCTTCTTCTTTTCTTTCTTCTTCTTCCTCTTTCTCTTCTCCTTCCTCCTCCTTCTCTTCCTGTTCTTTTTCTCCTTCTCCTCCTCCTCCTTCTTCATCACATTATCATCATCAACACCGGCAGAAATTTACTGCAAAATTGTTCTCCAAAAGGGTAGCACTATATTGTTAGCAGTAATGTATGAAGTTACAATTTCACTTAAAAAACACAAAATATTTACTTCTTCAATAGCAACAAATTGTTTCAAGTTTCTTTGAAGAAAGAACAAACTGGATATCTTCCATATGCATAAACTGTCTCTGTTCTACTCATATTTATCTACTGGGAACTTTGTATTTTCTAATCAAATTGCAGAGGATATAG